TACCTGCTAGTTTTCAGGCCTTTGGAGATGCTGTGGGGCTCTCACAACTCTCTCTGACTTAATCTTTGCTGAGTATTCCTCTGTGTTTTATAATAAAAGACAAAAAAACAAGAGTCATCAACCAGCTCTTCATCTTAAGCACCAGTCCTCTCTGGGCAGCAGCAGCTTCCTGAAAGGCCAGGTGTTGGCCACTGCTGCTCTGGTCAATTGACCAGAAAGGGGGTAGGAGAAGGTGTCATGTGAAGGAATGACACCTGCTGCGGACTGGGTCCCACCCTGGGTCCCTTGATACCAGCTTGTGCTGCCCTAGGACCTGTTTTCTCACCTGTAGAGAGAGAGGATTGGACTATACACATTTCATGAAAGGAGGAATAGATTTAGGATTAATCCAGTGAGAAAATCCAGGACCTACCCATTTACTGAGGTCCAGGCAGCTGTGGTCTCCACAGGCTGCCCACCTGCCATACACATACATCCCCCTTTAAGAGCCTATCACCCTCCTTATCCCACCATTCACTCCTAGGGAACCCCATCCAGATTCCTAATCTTTCAGCCTCTGTATTCATCTCTTCCCTATATGTCTCCTCTGAAAAGAACCCGATAAAGGGCCCCCTATAATTATGAGACCCTTCCATTATGATTATTATTTATAGGGATGAAGGTGTCTGCTTGTGGTTCCTTAACATTTTGGACTGAAAGTTTCAACCACTTCTCCCAGGGGATTTCTCAACAGCCAGAAGAATGAATCACAGATAGTGGGGTGGAAGTACAGTGGCATCAGTCTTGTCATCTGAAAAATGGGATAATGAGAGTGTCAGTCCTGTAGGGAAGGGGTGAGGATGGAAAGAGATACACTGGGGACACGCACGGCACTGCCCTTGCATATCCCCTATAAACACAAGATGTTCCTTACAGCTGCCACTGTCTTTACCATCAGGGATGAGGAGTCTGCCTGCCCTCCCCCAAGATTCACCTTGAAGGTGGCTGCCAATACCCCCGTCTACTCCCCCTTGGGTCTACAAAATGGATTCAGCTCTTTTAATTCCACCCCCTTCTATTTCACTGCATGCCAGCTGCCTAGTCCTAGGTGTCATCTGATTTTCTCCATTTGGGACATTCCAGTTTCTTTCTTCACAGCAAGCAAATCAAATAACAAGCAGCTGGAGTGCTCGTTAAGGGTCCCAGACCAGGAGAGGGGCGCTGATGGGGGAAGAGTTGGGGCCTGAGGTCTGGAAACCACACTCCTGGTTCCCTAAGGAGCCAGCTCCCCGCCCTGCCATCCTCCTGTCCTGCTCTGACTCCCCCTCCCAGTAGCTTGGCCCCTCAGATCTACCTCCGGCTGGTCTCATCCCAGGCCCTCTCTCTTACGGGGTCCCTCCTTGGCAGCTCCCTCTCCCTCTGCTTCACAGATACACAGTCTCTGCCCCCAGCATGCTGCTTTCCCCATTGGGATGGGTGATGTTCATGTGCCCCCTGAGCTCCTTCCCCCAAACCTTGCACAGGCTCTATGCCTCCCTGGGGCTGCCCTGCCCTGCCCAATGCCCTTCCTCCAGCCTTCAGGAAGGGGGGAGGGGCAGGCCTTGTGCTCTAAGGCCTGCCTGCCCCAGGTCCCTCCCTGGGCACGGCCTATTGTCCCCACAAGGCCTTCGGTGGTGGCATCTTTAGACTTCCCATCTGCCATCTCTGGAGGGTCTTGTCGCAATCCCCAGAAAGAGGCAGGGCCTGGATTTTATAAAAGGGAACCTGAAGTCCAGGGAAGTGATGTGGTTTGCCTAATGACACATGACTGGCAGTGACTAGCTAGAATCCTGGTCTTGGGATTACCAGGGGCCTATGTGCCCCTAGAGGGCAGGGACCCTTTGCATATCCATTTCCTAGGATTGTTTTGTAACAAAACCATTTCCCCTTTCTCTTCTTTCTGACTTTTCCTCTCCCGGGGTTTCTGACTGTCCCATTTCCGTGGCTCACCCCTTCCTCTCCTGGGCCCTTTACTCAGACCTGCGAGAACACACCTGGGAAAGGAAAGGCCCAGGGTGGGTCCCCTCCAGTTGCTCTGGGGACATCTTTGCAGGCTCAGAAGATGTTCCTAGAACAGCACTATCCACTGGCACTTTCTCTATACCGTGCAGTGTCAACTGAGCACTTAAAATGCAGCTGGTGCCACAAACAAACCAAAATTAAATTGTATTTAATTTTAACTTGTTTAAATATTCTATTATGACATACTATACAACTGCATATGACCACTGGTTCCTGTACTGGACAGCATGAGCCCAAGACTGCAGGCCCCTCAGACCTGGCCACTGACCTCTTCTACCTAAGGGACAGCTCCTCCCTTCTGGCTCCAACCCCTTCTCCTGTGATCCCAGGCTTCTCTCTGCAGCCACCATTTCCAGTCCCCCACTCTGTCCTCATTTCCACCCACGGTTCACCCTGGCCTGCAATAGCCTCCTGTTTGGCTTCACTGTTTTGCTGCCTTAAGCTCTCATTCTAGGAATGTAACTGCCCTCCCCTCCTCCAAACCCTTCTGTCACTCCTGTTGCCCTTAAGTAGCTCTAATTGACACTAAGGCTCCTCCTCGACTAAGCTACTACCCACTCTCCCAGTCCTCTAGGGTTTGGGAGGTACTTCAGCTCCCCCAGGCAAACCCCTCCCTCTGGTCTTCAGGCCGCAGAAGCTGTTCCCTCTACCCGCTTAGGACAAGGCCCCCTTTGCGTGGCAAACTCCCATTTACCCTTTAACTTTTCAATGGAAAATCCCTTCCCTAGAAAAGCCACCATAACTGCCATCACCATCAGACTATGTTTCAAGTAATGCATTCCCCAGGCCCCTCTGCTTTTGTTATTGTAGTTTTTTTTTTTCCAGTCGACATGGTCACTGCCTATTTTCTTCTTTACGTCCTGTAAGTTTAGGAGCAAAAGTGTTCCCCACAATGCCTGACCCACAGCTAGCTCTCAGCCAACTTTTTCTGAATGAATGACTGAGAATGGACCAAAAAAAAAAAAAAAAAGTGGCAGGACACAGTGGAAAGAGCCTTGTACACAATGTCAGGAAGTTTAAATTCTAGTCCTCTATCTGACCATGTGGCTCTAGATAACCTACGCCCTTCTCTGGGACTCAGTTTCCCCATTTGTAAAATGAGGGACACGTCAGATGATCTCTGGGGTGACTTTCAGCTCTGGGAGATGAGGAATCTAGAAGTGGGGCAAGCATGAAGCTATAGTTTGGAGATCATGTCAGATAAAAAAAGCCCCAAGGCCCTGAAAGCACAAGACTTGGCATGGCCCTCCCTTAAGTCCTCTCCTTAAGCAGAGGGGAAGCAAGGAGCTGGGTAAGGCCTGGGGCATACCCTGGTGAGGAGGAGGGTCTGAGAAGGGCAGAGGGTGGAGAAAGGATCTGAGCTAAACCTTCAAGCATCAGAGGGACCACGCACTGGCCTGACACCCTCTTCACCACCCAGCCAGTTCCATCTGCATTCTCATCCAACCAGCAAAAGCTACAACTCACGCTCCCTGAGCCCAGAGATGCTTCACCCCAAGCCCAGGGGGCTGTGGAGCCTTCTGGATTCCCTAGGGATTGGCAAGCAGTGGGAATGAGCTGACAGTAGCAGTCATGGGTGTACCACTAGCACCAGTGACCTGCCCTGTGACTGCCCTCTTGCCTTGGCCCTGTGATCTCCCTCTCCCTGACCAGCCTGGAGAATTTCTCTGGCAGGTGCCATCCTCAGCCTGGCAGAAGCACCTAGGAGAAGCCTGGCTGTAGGAGACCAGTGGCTCCTGCCAAAATGGCCACAGTACTCACCACAGTTAGAGCTAGCTCCAATGTTTACCACCATCACCACCATTTTGCAAGCTCAGACGGGCTGGAGTGTTTGTGCCAGGTTGCACAGCTTCCAAGTAGCAGAGTGGGGGTAAAAACCCAGCGCTGCTGGACTGAACTACCTTGGTCTTCACTGCTGCATACCACCTCCAATTAAGTAAGAAACCTCCCATTTCTTTCCCATGGAAACCTCGCATAGCCAACCTGCTCCAGGACCTCTTCTCAAAGTGCTGCAACCCTCACCCGCCTGCCCTCCTTCATCTGGGTCCTGGATCCCCCAGATTCCTGTAAGTCACCAGGCTTCCCCCTCTCCAGGCTCATCCTTTCCTCTAGTGGCAAAAGCAGAGTGCAGTCTCTTCCAGTACTCCCAAGGTTGCCATGGCTAAGAGAGACGCTAGTAGTTTTTAATCAGCTTGGGATCGAGAACATTCTGGCAACAGGAGAAAGCTCAGTATCCTTTTCCCAGAAAAATACACAGACAAAAATTGTTGTGGCCATTCCAGGGGCCCCTGCTTAAGAAACCAGGGTTAGGTACAAGAAGGTGTAGGCTAATTCGTGCTCAAGAACTGCAGAGCCAGGCGACCCACAGAGCCAGGCGACCCACAGGCCATTGCCAGCGGCCTCTGGCAATGAACAGGGACCAGGGCAACACAGCCGGCAAGGACTGTCCCTTCTGGTCCCTGCAGACCCTTGGATTCCTTTGCTCCCCCACTTTCCATGTAGCAAAAAATGTCAGGCGCTGACCCTAAAGGGGTGGAGGCGGAGGGCCACGAGGGCTCAGTAAGCCTTGGCTGGGCAGCGGGCACGCTTCCCGCTGTGAGGGCGCGGGACAGTTCTCACACCGGGAGGGAGAAGTGGAGCTCGCCCGCCTCCGCGCGCCGTCGCGCCCTGCGTTCCTCCACTTGTCCCGAGCGCCCACAGCACTCCCAGCCCTGGACGCCCCCAGGGAGCCTCCGGCGGGAGCTGCGAGGTCACCTTCATGCCCACCAGGTCATCCAATTCCCGGCCAGGCAGCGTCCACGCGTGCCCTCGCCCCCTCCCGCAGACGACTCCCGTAAGCCTGGAGCGCACCGCGCGGCTCAGAGAGCTAGGGCCCGCGAGCACAGGTTGGGGATGAGTCCGGAGGCTGCGCGAGGGGGCGCCGCGGGGAGGGATAAAAGCCAGCAACAAAGAGCACAGACCTCGTCCAGCAGTTGGTTGACTCGTCCCAAAATAGCCGTTTCCATTTGCTGCTCCCCGCACTCTGCTTCCAGGCGCAGCACCCGGGCCTGCAGTTCCGCGGTCCGAAAGTGAGAGAGCAGGCTGAGTGCCAGCGAGCAGAGGGCCAGAGCCAGCAGCCCGCACGACCCCGGGCCCGGCAGCCGCGCGCTGCGCTCCGCCCGCGCCGTAGCTAGCGCCACCGTCCCCGGCGCGTCCAGCTCCCCAGGGCCGCGGACACCCGAGGCTGCCGCTTTGTGGGCGCGCTCCGCTGCCATCCCCTCGTCTTGAGAACCAATAAATAAATAAATAGAATAAATAAAGGCGAGAGCCGCTGCTAAAAGGCTCGATCCAAACTGCGGGGCAGGGTGAAAGGGCTTGTGTCGCTGGGAAACGTCCCTTTCCTTTGCTCCCGGCAAATAGGAAGGGAAAATTAGCAGCAGGAGGGGAAATGCCAAAAAAAACACAACCAGCAGTAATTAGGGTATACCAAGGTGAGATAAAAGTTATTTCGAAGAATGTTCCAAGTCCAAGAAAGTCAGGGGATTCTGGTCGGCTTTCCTTCTCTCCGCCCCGTCTTTCCCTTCGAGTAACTGCAGAGCAGTTGTCGCCTGGCTGTCAGTCCTTCTGGGTGTCTCGCCTCTCCTGGGCGAGCCAGTTTCAGTCCCCGGGCGAAGGGGCGCACATGGAGGGCCCCATGGGCAGAGGTGGGTCGTGGCCGCTGCCGAGGAGCGCTGGGGCCGATTCCGGCGCCTCTGTAACTTGACACACTGGCTGCGGCTGCACGGATCGGATGAGCAATCCGTGCTACTTCCCAAACTAATCTCTCCCGCCCCCCTCCCTCCTCCTCCTCCTCCTCACTCCTCCTCCACCTCCTGCCGGGCAGACGGCTTGGATTTGTTTATTTATGCAAACTCGCCCAGGGTGGGGGGCGTGGTGTGCAGGCCCACTGCCCCAGCCCAGGAGCCCCGGAGCCCCTCTCCCGCGCTCCCTGTCCTCTTTGAAGTGACACTCCGGGTTATTTATAGGCAGGAAGGGGGTGTGGAGTGGAGCTGGGGCTACACTTCTTTCCCTTTCTCCGGATTCACACCGAGGGCACGTTTCTCCTGCGAAGGCCATAGTTGACAAGTTGGCCGACTTTGAGACCCTCCAGGAACTCAGATGAGGTTTTGTCAGGGCATCTGGATGGATCTTCACGTCCTGAGCAGGACAATCCAAATCCCCGTAGCAGCCCTCACATTCCTGCAACCTTTCACCCTTCCTTCTCTCCCCAGCAGTTTCTGCCCTGGGCTCTGTATGTCCAAGGTCCTGCAGCTCCCCCAGAGCCCATGGTGGGGCTCCTCCTCAACTGCAACTTTAATCTGGGGCGAAAAATCAGCCCACCAGGGAGCAGCGGAGCCGACACCCTCTTTCTTTCTTCCAGAACCAAGAACTAATAAGGTACAGGAGAATAAAAACCGAACAGAAAGTGTTCTCCCAGGATGTCCAGGAGACCGGTCAGTCCTACTGTGGTCAGTCCTGCTGTCTTGCTGGCCCTGCGTCTGAATCCCATTCCCTCCATCCTGCCACTGGGAGACCAGCCTGCCCAACTATTCATGCCCGCAGAGGTGAGCAATTCCTTTGCAAACTCCTACTCCATTCCTGAGGAATCTTGCCTGAGCGCTAACCAGCTTCCCTCCTGCTGCCATTTCTTCTATGGTACTATAAAAAGCGGGGGGCCTGAAGCTCATTCTGTATTACAGCTTCCTCTCTTCTCTTCTCACCTTCCTCGCTTTAAGTAACATTTGTATCCCAAAGGACTTTATATCCTTGCACCTCTTGACTTTCCTGTAGATGAGGTAGTGGGACTGAGATTTTGGAGAAAGCCTGTCTCCCAGAAGCAGCAAGCAGGGGGCAGAAGGCTGGCCTTGAAATATGCAGTGAAGGTGGGGGGCAACAGGGATTGTGGGGGGGCAGCAGGGGGTTGGGATTCCACTTCGTAATAACAGGGCATGCCAGTACAAACTTCACATTATATATATTGACCTATATTGACCTGATAGAGTTTACAGGATTAACACATCTAATAGAATGTAGCACATTTAATAGAATGCATTGAATCTGTCACATAGTACTTAGATCGTATAGAATCAAATATAACATTCACTGCTGGGTGGTTGGCCACTATGAAGGACGACAGGTATAGAAAGTGATCTCCATAAATGCCTTGTGGCCAGGAACTCTGGGTTACTGTCCCAGCTTCTGGATTTCCCGTGCCACGTTGGGTAAGCGAGCCTCTGTTTCTCCATGCCGGTAACGCGATGTCCCTGTACACTGTGCGGAGTAATCCTTGAGAGAACACAGTGATATTGAAGGCCACCAGAGGGCGCTGGAGGGTTTCTGCACCCGGAGGCACAGGCCGGGAGATTCTGGGACTCTGGGGTTCTCCCTCTCCCCTCCCAGGCTAGTCTGAACGAAGGAACTGAAGTGGAGCGTTAGTTTCATTCCTTCTTTATGCTGCAAGCTGATCTTTCCCCTTTCAGGACGTTAGAGGCCTTCAGGAATGCTAAGGGAATGAAACCTAAACAGTTTGAGACTGAAGCATCCTTGTAATCATGAACTGAAGGAGGAAGGTGTCCTGCTAGCCTAACCCAACCCCAGCATCAGAAACATGCCCAAACTCTGGAACTTCCAGGGGGATGCAGAAATCACAGAAACCCAGGCATAGATCCTACCTCCGTCAATGTAGGAGTTACTTAACATCTCTGAGCTTCAGTTTTCTCGTTTATAAAATGAGCATATATTAAAAGTACCCATCTGTTAGGGAGGATTTAATCATGTTTGCATGTAAAGCACTGAGCACAGTACCTGGCACATAGTAGGCACTCAAATGGTAGCTGCTTCCTTTTTTAGAAATTCATGGCCACTAGGGCCAGCTAAGACCCAGCTCTGGGGTCCCAGTTGTGAAACAGGAAGAGGTTTCCATCTCAAAGACAGCAGATGGATCTCAGTTAACCACTGTCTTTCCACAACTGATACCGTAGCTGAGGATAGCAGTTGGTGGGAAGTGGGCCTTAGCCTGAACTGAGGGGCTCCATTCTCAGATATCCCTCTGTTTCTCCCTGTACTGTTTGAAATTCTTACCCTGGGAGATTTTCCCTTCAAGTTAAGCATTGTTCGTCCCAGACAAATGTTAACAGCATAACTAGGCTTATCTTGAACTCCTCTTTCTTCAGAGGTAGGGTATAGGACCTAGGGACTATGAAGTGAAAAGACCTTGCCTTCCAGGAGCTCAAAGTCCAGTAGGGAAGATAAGACACGTTCACATACAACTGCCACAAAAAGGCACTATGGTGAAACCCACAGACTGGTGTAAAGGCCACAAGAAGTGCTTCCAGGCTTCCCAGGAAGGAGGTGAGAACCTAGAGGCCCAGAAAGTGTCCTTAGGAAATAAAATTTCTTGTTTGCAGCAAGAAGATAGAGGGTCTTCAATGTGAGCCCAAAGAATCTGATTTTGGTCTGTGGTTATGCTTATACTCCTAGATAAAGAAGGACTTTCCAAGAAAAAATACCCCAGGCATACAGTCTATATAAGTCTCCATCTTTTCTGTGTTTTTCTGCCTTTTCGCTCCTACTGGCCCCTCTGCTGAGTTGGTCACTTTTCACTTTCAGGTTTTCTGCAGCTTGAAACCCTGCCATTCACACCAAGCCCAGTCTTACTGAGTGAACCCCATTTCTCTTCCTTTCACTGTGGCCTTGACAACATCAAACTCCTTCCTGAAAGCAGTGCCGTCCTGGCTCCAAGAGGCTTCTGTGAGGTCTCCACTGTCCCTCTCGCCTATTTTCTATTCTTTTCCGAAGACTCCTCCTCCACGCCCCACATCAAAAGTGAAAGCCAGACCTCCTCAGGACTGCCACAGGCCCTCTGCTCAGCTCTTCTGCCCATGGCTTACAACCTGGTCATGTGTCAGGTCACCTGTGCAGGAGAGCAGACACCTTTTGTTTTATCTGTCCTGAGCAGGGCAGATAACCCTCAGGGAGAACCCCAGAGTCCCAGAATCTCTTAGCTATTTCCCCTTCTCCTAGTCACTGTGATTCAGTTTCCTTTGAGGAACCTTCCTCTCAGTCCGTGTGGCTCTGGTGCCAGTATGAGTCAACCTATCTGCTTAGCCTCTTTCCCCTCCCCTGGCTGCATTAAAGTAGTCAGGGAGCCCTTTTCAGGACCATGAGTGTCAGGGTGGAATGTGTATTAGGGGAGGGGAGGCAGTGATTTCTTTGGGAAAGGCTTTCTGGAAGCCGTAGGGGGTGCCTTGCCACTGTTGGTAAATAAAGATTGTTCATGTCGGTGCCTGTGGCTCAGTGGGTAGGGCGCCAGCCCTATATACCAAGGGTGGCAGGTTCAAGCCCGGCTCCAGCCAATGCAACAACAACAACAAAAAAAAAAAGGCTGGGCGTTGTAGTGGGTGCCTGTGGTCCCAGCTACTCGGGAGGCTGAGGCAGGAGAATCGCCTAAGCCCAGGAGTTGGAGGTTGCTGTGAGCTGTATGATGCCACGGCACTCTACTGAGGGCAATAAAGTGAGACTCTGTCTCTACAAATAAATAAATAAATATTGTTCTTGAGAATGAAGTCAACATGGAGGCAAAGAGGGGTGAAGAGTGAGAGTCCTGAAGACATTATTTAAACCCTTCAATCAGACTGTACCAGCAGCTCATCTGTGCCTAAGCTTTCCAGTTACAGGAGTCATTTTTGCTCAAGCCAGTTTGAGTTGGGTGTCTTTTCTTGCAAGTGTAATAACCTAGAGTCACATAGAGGGCCTCACCTCACTGAGTCAGAATCTCTTTGTGGCTGGTGGGAGGGGATGGCAGGGAGGCCAGTTCCCATTCTACTTGTAAAAGCTCTCCAGTGGTCTGGGAATACATCCAGGGCAGAGTCCCTGCACTGAACATGTGCCCTGGGAAAGCCTGTTCATCCTGGGCTCCAGTTTCGACCTGTTTGCTGATGACTCTCTAGACTCTCTAATGCAAACCCACAGCTCATATCTCCCACAAGTCTCACCCATACCTTCAGTGGCTTCCTGGTGGTCCTGACCGGGGGCCTGCTGGAACCTCCTCCCCCCACCCCCAGCCACTCTAGACTCCCTATTTCTTTTTTCTCTCCAGGGATTACGTTCCCTACCATGATGCCCAGATTCCTGGCTTTGTTTCTGATTCCTATGTGCAGTGGTCAACAAGACCGAAGAGATCTGGACCCCTGGTGGCTTTGTGGGGTTGCCAAACATGCCTAGACTTTCCTGTAACTGAGAAATAACCTAGTTCATCTGAGCCACTGTTATTGTGAGTCTATCTTTTATAGCTTAAGTCATATCCTAACTATGGCCTGTGTCTGTTCCTTCCTAGGCTTGAGTTCTTAGGGAGCAGGGACAATGGTACTCAGCACTCAGCATAATGTAGATGCCCAAGGGATAGTGGTGTGAATGAATGGTGTGTGAAGGATGAACGAGGGGTGGGGTCCAGTTTGGGCTCTCCTACCTATATTATTTGACCTATGGCTACTTCCTCTTAGGTAACATGTAGATATTAATGGGTAAGGGAGAAAAAGGAAAAGGGGGATGAATAAGGACCTTCTCAGCTCAAAAATCTGTCTATTAAGCAAATATTTTTAAAACACCTTCTCATACCAAGCTCTGTGCTGGTGTTGGGGACACAGCTGTGAAGGTGACAAGCTGGTGGTGGAGGCCAGTACTGGTAACCACTGCAATGCAGGAGATAGTGGGTGCTTGGGGAGCACAGAAGGGGAGCCTGAACTAGGCTTGGATATTGGACCTGAAGGATG